AAGCAGAGGGAACACGGGGAGGGAAATCACAGCTTTGTTTTTTCACAGGGCAAAAAGGGCTCCACAGGAGCCTCCCTGCCCTTCTGACACTGGCTCTGTTTTTCTTCACACTAAAAATAAGCACAGTATTAGAGGTGGCCAACTACCAGCAGCTGATGCAGGGCAGAGCCCTGTGTCCCTGGACAGCAGCAATGCCAGGGGTGGCTTGCAGTGGAAAAGGGGACTGGGATACAGACGGGCTGTGGTGGGAAGGAGAAGGATCCGGCAGCCAGGGCTGGTAGAAGTCCTGATGGAGGAGGGGGTCAGCACCGGAGGCACCATCCAAGCAGCTGGGGGCAAACACTGGTGATCATGTCTGTGCTCCTAGTCCTGCCATGGGGGATTTTTGGGATACAGGGGTTGCATTGCTCCTGCTTAGGAGATTCCAAGGATGTAGTGATACCACCATAGGCTGGGAGCCTCTGCTCCAGTGGAGATGGCTCATCCCAAAGCAGGCAGAGCTTCATCATGGAATCACAGAACCATTTAGGTTGGAAAAGACCTTTAATATCATCAAATCCAACTGCTAACCTAGCACTGCCAAGGCCACTGCTAAATCCAGCTCAGGGCAGAGCTGAGTGCTCAGGGCACAAGCAGGGACAAACCCCACAGGGTGTTTATGCAACACCACCAGAAAAATCAATGGTGCTAAAAGTGGTTGTATCCCATTCCAAAGTGCAGGAGCATCTCCTTTTATTCTCCTGTTTGTTATAAAATGCTGAGTTGCCACACGGAGATTACAGGAAAACAAAGACCATTTGGAAAGCTCGGGTTATGCAGTTCATCACTTTTCGAGCTGACCTGGCTGTAGCTTCAAACGGGGAGGTGGCAATTCCCAGCCCTCACCAGCTAAAAACAAGGTGCCTGACCAGAGGGCACAGTCTGGGCTCTCGCTGGGCCCTCTGGAATCAAGTGGAAATGGGAAAAGAGCTCCATGACAAATGCTGTAGCAGCATGAGAGCAGGAGCAGGACACCCAATGTGCAGACCCCATGTCTCACCCCGGGCTGGGAAGGTCAGCAGGATGGGATGGAGGTGACATCGCACTGCACAGCCCATCCTGCACAGGTGCTCTGCCAGGAGCAGAGCTGAGGACTGGGAAGCAGAAGGAAGAGCCCACTCCTTCAGGATACAAAGGCAAAAACATGGAAGACAAATCCAGCTTCCAGTGCAACAGCTACTCCTCCCCTCTGTGCCTCGGCGCAGCGGAAGCAGGTCTCCCCTAACCACCATCCACCTTGAGAGAGGGCTGGGAATGACGGCGGTGCCGGGGGATTAGCCCTGGGTCTCCGCACCGCTGGAATGGCCTACTTTAACCACACACCAGATCTCCTGCCTCAGCCCTCTGCAGCGCTGCCGAGGTGGGAGTAGGGGCACTGCCCCTCTGACCCCCATCCTGGGACCCCGCAGCCCTGGACACCGGGATCTGCACCTTCTGGCACAAGGTCACAGCACGGCGTGTCCATTGCCCAGGGAGGGTGGGAACATCAGGATTTTATAAGCAGAACAGGCGCCCAGCAGCAGGTTCTGTGCGACAACCACAGCGCTGACCTTGCGGGGAGGAGAGAACAGCGCACCCGGCTCAGCCCACTCGGGTGTTTCCGTGTCCCTTTGGAGATGGAGCATGAAGCCATTAAGTAATAAAATGTCAACTGCACAGCAGCTCCAGCTCCTGCAATGCCCCACGGAGCCGGAGACACACTGGGATGCTGCACGAGCAGATGTGGGGCTGGCGCTTGCAGGGACAGTCTGGTGCATAAGATGAGAGTCTGATCCCTATGACGTGGGACTGGTGGATGCAGGAGGGTCTGGTGCAGGAGAGGGGGGTTTGGGGTGTGCAGGGAGGGTCTGGTGCATGTGATGTGGGTCTGATCCACGTGACATGGGACTGGTGTAAGCAGGGAGGGTCTGGTACATGAGATGTGGGTCTGGGGTCTGCAGGGAGGGTCTGGCGCTTGCAGGGAGGGTCTAATGCATGTGATGGGGTCTGATGCATGTGACAAGGGTCTGATATGGGTCTGGTGCATGTGATGTGGGATTGGGGCATGCAGGGGAGGATCTGGTGGATGTGATGTGGGTCTGGGGCATGCAAGGAGGGTCTGGGATGTGAAGGGAGGGTCAGGTGCATGAGATTGTGGGTCAGGTGCATGGGATGCGGGTCTGGTGAGCGTGATGTGTGACTGATGCTGCTGTGTGGGTCCTAGTGCACGTAATGTGGGTCCGGGGTTGTGAACCGGGACCGGTGGGTGTGGTGGGGGTCCAGGTGGCTGTAGTGTGGGTCGGGGTATGCCATGGGGATCTGGTGCATGCCGTGGGCTCCGGCGCACGCAATACGGTCCTGCCGTGTGTGCCGCGGGGGTCTGGCACACGCAATGCGGGTGCGCTGCGGGCCTAATCCGTGACCCGCCCCGAGAACCCCGTGCCCCGGGAAGCCCCCCCATTCCGACCCCCCGCGATGCGGAGCGGCGCTGGCAGACCCGTGCTGCGCCCCCCGCCTCCCCTCACCGAATCTGCAGCCAGAAAGGGATGAGTCACGGCGGCCGCGGGGCCCCGCACCGCGCCCCCCGCCCCGCACCGCGCCCCGCACCGCTCACCTGCGCGGGGCCCCGCCGATGTCGGGGGCGGCAGCGCCGGCGGAGGGGGCTCAGCGACCTGCCGGGGAAGGGAGAGAGCGGGCGGTGAGCGGCGGCGGCGGCGCGGGGCCCGGTGCGGTGCCCGGTGCGGTGCCCGGTGCGGGGCTCGGTGCGGTGCCCCGCGCCACCCCCCGCTGCCCGCGCCCTCCCCCGCCTCCATCACCTGCGCCGGCCTTCATGGGTGCGGCGGGGCGGCCGGGAGCGCTGGAGGGATGAGGGATGGAGGGAGGGATGAGGGAGGGATGGAATGGGGAGGGAGGGATGGAGCGGGGAGGGAAGGAGGGAGGGATGAAGAAGGGAGGGAGGGATGAGCCGTGCAGCTGCGTAATTTGCTCCCTCCTCTGCGATCTTAAAGCGACGGTGCCGCGGGTGCCTCCCCTCCCGCCGGGTTTCCCCCCGTTTCTATGACAACTCTCCTCTGCCGGGGCGTAACCCCCTCAAAAAAGAAAACAGCCGGTTTTGGGGTCCTTCCCCGTCGGCGGAGCCCCGCGGACCGGGTGAGCCCTGCGCCTTGTGGCGCTGAGCTCCTTGCCCCGCGTAACCCCGGAGGAGGAGGAGGAGGAGGAAGGGGAGGGGGGGAGATGGGGCAGCCCCGCTCTGCGGCCACCCGGCCCCTGGAGTCCCACCGGCGTCGTAATTTTCATTGTAACAAGTCCAGCTCTGAGGAGATCCCTGCCCCAAATTAGTGACGCATTTTCATAAAGTAAAATCAATAAATAACCGGAATTCTCTGCCCTATTTCCATCCGCTCTGGGTGAGCGCGAATTGCCGGGGCTGGGGTGGAGAAGCAGCATCAGCCACAGCGAGCTGCTGCCCCGGGCTGTTCCTGGGGTCCGGGGGTTTGGGAGATGAGGCTGTAGGCTGGCACGGCACGGCGCGTCCTCCAGCACAACCCAGTTACTCATGGCACTGCCCACACGCTTCCTGCGGTAGCTGTCGAGATTAACCTTCCCAAATTATTCTGTGAGGAAGCGTCTCGGGAGCCCCCGCGCCACGTCCTGCAGCCTGTGAGTGGTGGTGGTGGGGAGCAGGAGGGCACCGGCTCTGGCTCTGCTCCGGTGTCCGCGGCCGGTAACGCCCAAGGTCGGCTGCGGACACCCCCGTGGAGACCAGGAGCATGAGATGCACGTGTTACATACACCCAGGTATCATCCGACGTGTGTGTGTCCACATACGGACTCATAGAGGGGAACGTTCCCGTGTCGGCACGGTCAGAGCAGAATCTGCTCCTGCTTTGGGTCCAGACCTGAGGCCCATTGTGCTTTCCAGCCATTCCCAGCTCCCTTTGTCACACCCCCATGGTTATTCTGGAGTTCTGACAAACCTGTTTGGTTAATACATGCCCATCTTTCCTCCAGCACTATTTCCTGCATGATTTGTACCTCATTAATCCCGACACACAGACTGTTTTCAGTGTATATATATATCTCTCCCATTTATTCCTGCCCGCCTCCAGCTGCCTTTTGTTTCCCTTGTTCCTGGTGAATCCAGTGCACAGCCTCTATCCTTGAAAGGAAAATTAATGAGTTATCACATCTGCTGCCACTGGAGCAGCTCTGACCATGTGGCACAGGCAGCAGCTCTGCTGTGAGATGCAGAGTCATTCCTGATGGCTTTTGGGGGAGACAAATAGTTTCTCCTTCCCTCTGCAGTCTGCAGTGCTTGGTTTCCTGGGATGCTCAGACTCTGAGAGTGGGAGCACTGCTCCAAGGACCTGCTGTGGGAGAGAGGGAGAGGTTTTCACCAAAACCAACCCCTTTTCCCACCCAGGTCAGCACGTGGCTCTGGAACTGCCAGGCCTGGCCCAAGGAGAGAATGAACCCACCTCAGTTCCAGTCTTGGCCTGGGCCATGCTCCCATCCCCACCTAAAAAGGGAAATAGCATTTGTTTTGCTGAAAAGAGAGAGGTATTTTACTGAACAGGGACACTTTTCCCTTTCTTACACCCCTCAGAGAACAGCAGCAAAGGTTTATTGCTTATTTTATCAAAAATTCCTATGTGGAAAGGAAAGGACACCAGCTGGAACACCCCATAGCCAGTGGCCACCCTGTGCCATCCTCCTGCCCCAAACTGGGGCTTCACCCCCTTTTAAAGCCTTTTTACTCCCTTAAACAGACCCTCGACCCAAACCTCACGTGCCCTGAACCCTGTGTGGCAGGAACCACACACGTTTGAGGGCCCAGAGACACAGGGGTGTCACTGAGGTGAGTGAACACCCAAAAGCCAGGTGACAATATCACCCATCCTTTCCAATTGTGAGTAAAATCACCAAATCCCTGACTGAGATGAACCCACAGGATTTGATCCTTCAGAAGAAACGCCAACAAGTGAAGGAAACATCTAATTTTTATTGATTCCACATGAAGGGAGAGCAGTGTCCCCACAGCACCAGAGCACCTGAGTGGGGGCAAAACCACTCCTCTGGTGCCTGTTGGGGGCAACTGGAAACCAAGAGCTTCAGAAAATGACAGTAAAAGGGGTAGAATTTATCTTAAATTAGACAAAAATACAAGGAACTAGTAATATTTCAGTTAACATCAATTTTTAAGTAAATCTACACATGAATAAAGGTGCTAGTAAGTAAACTATCTCTGAAATCTGAAATTGCAGGACTTCTAGATAATAGAATTTCTTCCTGAAGCTTATGGACACCTCTAGGGCCAGTGTAACCTCTGTCTGCCTGGAGACACAAAAGCAGCACTGGAAACAGGACCTTTCTAGATCTTAAAATATCAAATACTGAACATTCTTTGAAAGGAATAATTTTAAGTAGACTAATTTTTTTGCTAAGGAGAGTTAACAGATGTCTCTTACTGATGGTGTGAGAGGATTAACAGACACAAGCCTCGACAAAAACAATTTAATCTCCAAAGGTGGTCTGTGAGAAAGGTTTTGAAGGACTTCTATAAAATCCCTTCAAGGACTTTTATAAAATTCCTTTAAGGACTCCCATAAAATCCCCAACAATGTAAATCTCCTATGTAGAATATATATTTTAGTGGTATTTTCTTAACCTATCATATAACCATCCTATAACTCATCGTATAACCATAAATATTAAAGATAAGCCCAGCAGTGAACACCTGGGGCAGCACACCTGCACAGGCCACTGCTGCCTGGTGTAAATGTCAGGGAGCTCTGCTCAGCTCCCATGGTTGGACAAGGCACTCAACCCTTTTCCCAGGAAAACTATTTGCTGAGAAGATGCAACTTCAGGTGTGTGTTGATGAGCTGATGATTCTGTCAAACATGGGCCCGGCCGTGGCCGTGAGGTCAGCGAAGGGCTCGCGCTGCCGCAGCTCCAGGACCAGCTGCTTCTTCAGGACCAGGAAGATGTAAAACTTGGCTGCGGCTTCTTTCCGGTTGTTGTTCCGACAGAGCTCCCGAAAACTGAAGGAGCACGAGCCTGATCTCCTCAGTTGCTGCATGAGGGAAATGAGAAATCAGTCAGGTCAGCTTCCCCACCGGTCACACTGGATCCCACGGGCTCCAAGCAGAGAGAGCTGCCCAGAGGGAATATCTCTGCTTGAACGCCTCGAATAGGATCCGGCCTTCATGGAATCATGGAAGCACAGAACAGGTTGGGTTGGAAGGGACCTTAAAGATCATCTGATTCCCCCACCCCAGGCGGGGGCACCTTCCACTAGACCAGGTAGCTCCAAGCCCACATCCAACCTGGCCTTGAACACTTCCAGGGGTGGGGAATCTACAACCTCTCTGGGTATTTTGGCATCCGTGTTTATGGAAATGGCTCTGAACATTTTATTGCCACAGTATTGCTGGTACTTACATGTGTTATTAAAATCTACAATTCCACTGAATTCCATGACACCAATGGAGCACTTCCACCGTGGTTTGTGTCTGAAAACACTAAATATCCATGTGCAGCCTGTTCTTTGGTTACAGGGACCTCACAGGTAAGAAATAAGTGTTCTTATCTCTTGTTTTTTAAAGGCTACACTGAGGTTTAAGTATTTGTTTATTATTTGTGCAGAACTTTTGAAATATATTCATATAAAGTGACATCAGAAAATTCTAGTGATTCCTACAGCTATGGGAGGAGACCTCACATCAAGCACCCAAAATCCTAGCATAAAGACCTAAAAAAGCACAGTTACACGTTGCAGGTGAGGGGCAGTGACATGGACAGTGGAAGGAGGAGCTTTTCTGACATGGTCCATCTGAAATCAACACCTGGTTTTGGTGTCTAATAACAAGATCCAGAACTGGTACCTGTAAAGTTTTGTGTAACTGAAGAGTTCTTTTGCTCCAGTTTATTTCTTCACTGTTTTTCTTGATCCTTTTTTGCTCCTTGAGAGGAAGTAAACAGAAGGTTAGTGTTTGTAAAAAGTCACACACCATGATGAAAAGGACAGGAGTTCCAGCTTGACTGAAAACCTGGGCATCTGGGTGGCCAAAGTCAGGGAATCTGACACCCCTGTGCTCACACAAGGTTTTGTGAACAGAGGGAAGAAGGGTACCTGTGTGCTTTCTGCTGCAGAGACAGCTCAGGTGCAACAGGCCAGGTACCATGGAAGGCATTCCAGGGAGGCAGCTCCACAGCAAGGGGCTGCTCTGTGGGACTGGGATTCTGACAGTATTTGTACTGGATGTTCAAATATTTGGCATGGGATTTTGGGCTTAACCTCTGAGGTTGGCAGCTGATTGCCCTGGTTCCTGATGGCACATTTTCTTTTTTTTTTAATATTTCTGAGAAAGAACAGGGTTCTCTTCTGAAACAAGCCAGGGCCACCAGCTCTGAGGACACACACCTTTGGCACCTCCACCTGCTGTTCTTCAGCTTCCTGGCCCAAGGAAGTTTTTGAGCTCTCGGAGAAAGCTGCTCCATCCAGCTGTGGGCACAGAAAGGACAATCAGTGGGGCTGACCATTTATAAATACAATGAGATTCTCATTACTTAACTCTGCTCAGAGGATTTATTATAATGAAGTTCTCCAAAATGATTTAACAGTTGCTATTTCCACCATGCCTTTCCTGACACTGGGAAGGACCTTGCTGTAGGAGTTATCCTACAGCTGAATCTGCACCTATGAGCACAGTTCAGGCACAGAGCACATGTTCTCTGCTGCCATTAGGTCCAATTTTGTCACTTTTCTACTTTAATGAGGCTCACATTCTCTAAAGAATGCCCTTCACCCTAAGTGAAGATGGCAGAGAGAGATAATTTGTTATTGCTTAAGTATTTCCTCAATATGAGACACAAAATGTTTTATCCTTTATAAAGATTATTATATTTATCTCATCAGTACAATATTTCATATTTAATATTAAGCTTTCATTTATACTTAGTGATTAGACTGTAATCTATACTTATCAACAGACAGTTTAATTAACCATTCCTTCACTGTGAGAGTTTACCAAAGTAATTATAAATAAACTTTTGTGACACAAGCTACTTCATGCTCTCTTGGCTGGCTTTAGCCTCCTTTTCAAACATTAGTAGTTTCTTAATGTGTTTTAAGTGGAACCTTAGCACAAAGTGGAACCAATATAAACACACTTAGGACTCTAAAATTGAGGAAAACTGCTCACTATAGTTTCATCACAGTTCCCATTGGTTTCATTTCTGGCATTCTGTGGTGGAATAACCATAAAGGAGTCATTTCTAATATTTCTCTCAGTCTCAGAATGAGCTGACTCCTGCAGGTAACTTGGCTCTTCTACTGGCAGCATCCCTGTGTTAATAGAAAACCAGAGTTCAAGAGGCAATTACTGTGAGTCACTGTCCTTAAAAAAAACCCACTGAAAACCAAAAATCACACCCTAGTTTGCAATCTTTGAGAGTAGGAGCCATAATAAGCAAGTATTAAAGAAACATCCTTCCCAACAGGAGCATGGAAGAAGAACCTTCCAAGGGAGTGTTTCCTTTTCTAAAAGTTGACCTTTATGGACTCACAGGAGGTGGGTTTGTTGATTCATTTCTGAGGCAGAAACACAGGTTAGTTTTCACAGAGTGAAACATGGCATTTTTTCTTGCCTGATATTAAGAAAAACAACTCTTCCAGATAGAAATAGAATTATTTACATGAATTTGGAAATTTGGAGAGTGGTTTAATTAAGCTCACAATAAGTGGGAATATTTTTTTTATTATATTAAAAAAAACCCCATATAACACCACCCAAATCTGCAGTTTCAGAGACAGTCAGAGAAACCAAAGGTAACACTAAAAATATCTCCTCATGCCACAAGGAAGAAAAAGATTTGCATTTCATTTAATTTCTAAAGAACAAAAGAACAGCAAAGGACCAATAAAAGCAAACATACAAACCAACCTTTTTTTTTTAATAACAACAGTCCCTTAACTCTCTTAACATTTAACTTTTTTGGCCTTTGATTTGTAGAATACAAGCACCATGCATGTGTCTCAAACATTATGCAGAATAGAAAATAGTTTCTAACAGCTAATTCTGCACAAGAGAATTAAAATATTACCTGTGGTATCTTGCTCTTTTCGCATTTCTTCCATTTCAGAGACCCTCTGTACTCCACCTCCTCTCATCTTAAATCTGACACTCTTGAAGCATTTTTCAAACAACTGAAAATAATTATTTTTTCTTTGTTTGCTTTCAGAATATCACGTCAGATTATTCGCAAGCATCAACACAAAGGTATGAATACGAGCTGCATGTTAACTATTGGTACCCAGAACTTTAATATTTAAATTAGGTCATTCTGAAAATCTGCACTTTTGATTTTTTTTTTTTAAGTAACAGCTTTCTGCAGCTTCAGCATTATCCATGAACTCCAGGAAAAAAAAAAATATCTTAAGAGCAGCTTGGATCATTTTTCCTTGAAGCCGGGAAGGATGAAAGAAAGAAACGTCTGCAGTTTTCATCCTCTTAGAGAGCAAGTTGTAATTCTTCAGCTGGACTCTAAGTGGTGAAGCTGTGCTGCTGCAGTGAACCCTTCCAAATCTGTCAGCAATACTCTAGCAGTAATATTTAAGTGTGATGCACATTTAAAGTAAGTATAGGCCAAAGATGTCTCAGATTGATTACAGAGAGGAAACAAGCCAGAAAACAATAAAACAAAGGAGAAAGTAGAAAAGAAATGGACAGAAATGCAAAAAGTTGTGTCTTAGTGTAAGATCAGTCAGGTGCCAGTGTATTAAATGAAACACTACATCTTTGTAATTTTTCCCTTCTTGCTGGACTGCAGGAGGTTAAGGCTGTGACTCTACAGATTATGAAGTAATTGGTGGTGAGTGTGCAAATAATCATCAGGTGTCCAGCTGACTTGCACTGCAGAGCAATGCTTCCACTGACACTGGAATTGGGATCAAACTGAGCCTGCAAAACCCCTGTCAGCCAAATCCCAGCTCTGCAACAGTCCCGGAATCTACTCAGTGGCACAAACCCCACAAGGAGCTGATCTTTACCTTTTGCAGGTCAGCATGAACCACAGGCTGTGTGGAGTGGGACAGGAGTTTATCCACACCTCCCCACTCCTTCCACATCATCGTTTTCTTGGTTGGGGGAGCAAGGTCCAGCGTGGCCAGGGTGTCTGTGCAGTTGGTGAGCTGGTTGTAAATGGCACTGCAGCTCAGCTCCTTCTGCACATCCACCAGCAACTTCCTTTTTCTTTTGTTTTTTTTCCTCGAGGTCACAGCTACATAGAGCAAGTAATAAAAAACAAGTCTTAAGGTCTATTCCCAGGATATTAGGCACAAAAAATAAAATTAAAAAAAAGCCCCGTGAATCAAACCAGCTGCTGACCCCCCAAACACCGCCCAGACTTGAAAAATCAAAGTACAAGTGCAGAGGCCCTTTCTTCAAAAGATTGCATAAAGTTTTCACTCTTTGTACTCTTGTACAGGAAATTCCCATATGTTTAATTACAGAAGACATATGACTATTGTACTAAAGAACCAGGAACAGGAGGACTTAATGAGAACACATGATATAGCAGCAAGACTGAATAAGCTGTCTTTAATCCATCAGGAAGTTAAGTGTTCCAAAAACTGCTGCTGCACTCAACAGGTTTCATTACCTCATAATTCATATCTGTTTTTGTCAGTTTAATCCTTTAGCAATTTAATCAAGATGTAAACACAAAAGAAAGACACAGATTGGTTATATAGTCATAACTTCCTGAATATTGTTCTGGCAGGCTGGAAAATTCCAATATGGTAAATGTTGCTGTCAACGTGAGCTTGTTTATTTGCAAACAGCCAGCAAGGTGATAGATAGCATTTAGATTTACTCACAGAGGAAATGTAATACTTTTTTTTTTTTGGATCTTTAATTAGAGTTAAAAGTTCACAAAGCGACATTTTCCGAAGGCTTGAAAGTTTTAAGATTGTTATTTTAAACATAAAAGTCACTGATGTAATAAAATTAAAAATCACTGGTGATAAAAGTTCTTCAGGTGAAACTTCAGCACCACCCCTGAGCCGGCCAGGCTTGCAGTGCCAGCAGAGCAACAAAACTTGATTTGGTGCATGAAATAAACTGCAAGAAGAGACTTGGGCAGATCAGACAAATGACCTGACACTGGTTTTGTATAATAGTTACCATAAAATGGAACTCTGACAGAAGGAGCAGATGAAAACTAGAATGGGAATAATCTCTTTTACAAATATTTTGACTACTAAGAAACCAAACATAGTTAATGCAAACATTCAGCAAGAAAGTGATCAAGTTCTGACCTGTGTCATCGATTGGCTCAAGCACAAATCCTTCTTCTTGGAACAAAAGGAATGTCTCATTCATTGTGTGACTTACATCCTTCATGGTGGTGTCTGCACAGTTGGACTCAACTGCAAGAAAACCCAGCAAATAACCCAAGTGCAAGAAAGCTCACAAGATGGACTGACATCTCAATTGCACAACAGAGAATGATATCAGAGGAAAATGGTGAGAATTAGACAACTGTGGCTTTGTTTATAATCTCATAATTATGTTCAGCAGTAATCACTGGCACTGCTGCTGCTCATACCCTGCCCTGCACGTTTCCCTTCGCTGAGCCCAGAAGGACCAGGTAGTGGAAGAGACAGAAGAACTGATCTGGAGAAAAACCCACACAAGAAAAAGTGTTTAGGGGGAAATGTGTGTAGTTTCAACCTGTATCTGTTTGCAGTTCCAGGCAAGTGCAGGACAGTGTGGACATTTCTATCAATAGAGAAGGAACAGGGAGCACCAGCACTAGCACAAGCAGAGGCAAGAGCCACTCTATCCCTTTAAAGCTGTTTCAGAATTCTCAGTTTTAAAGCGACACCGTGATGGGGGAATAGGGATTTAAGATAACAAAAATTTCCCAGAAACACTTTTCAAAATGTAATTTATTTCATCAGCATCAAACCAAAAGATTAGCAAGACCTTTATGAACTACTTAAGTGTCATTTGTCACAGAAATACAAAACCAGAAATAGAATTTTTTAGGTTGGGAAAGACTTTTTAAGCTCTCATGGGGAAAGTTCACAGTTATAGCACACCCTTATTGGGTTTTCTTTCCCCTCAAAAGGAACATCACACTGTGAGCAGCAGGGTGGACCAACAGCATATCCAACAGGATGCCACATAAAAGAGTTTCTAAGCAAAGTCAGGTTATAAATTTGGAATCCCTAAATCAAATGAAATTACCCTAAAATAGGTGGATGAAGCAGTTTAGAAAAAAAAAAAGAAAAAGGCAAAATAAATGAAGAAAGGAAAAAGCCACAGGATATTGCACAAAGCTGAGTGTGTGTGACCTTAGGCATTAACACAGGAACAGAGGGTTTGTGTGAGATGGAGCAGACTCTGCAAACTCACTGGTTGTGCTGTTCTCTGGCAGATCTGGTGACAAAGGACGTGCTTCCTCTATATCCAGAATATCTTTATCTAGGCCATTTTGCTCATCCCTCAACAGGATTTCTTAAACACAAAACACACAGTTTTAGTCATCCTAAGCCTTGCTAGTCATGAAGTAGCCTGATACAGCCTGATGTTACTTAAGGTTAATTCTCTGCAAAGAAAGCAAGCTCAGCTTCCCCAGATGGCTGTCGGTGGTGGGGCTGTCTGCAACAGCACAAAAAGGAGAAGGTTAGTCCTAAGTTTGAAATTTCCACCTTTTCTTTGAAAAACATGGTCTTGATAGTGTTAACAGGTATAAATCTATAAGGTTTACATAAATATTCTAAGCCATAACAATGTAGAAGCTACTTTGCTGCCTTTGTTATTACAACAGTAAGGATAAAAATGCTGCATTATTTCACCTTTGAAAATAGAAGTTAAACTGTTAAGCATTAAGCATAAATTTAATGCCTTTAATTCTAAAATAATGAGATATAGGCTTTAAACCAATTTGGCAATGTCTAGGTGATCATAGATTTAGTCATAAGTAGAAAACAAATGAAGCATGAAAACAACAAATAACACAGAATTTCTGTTTGAAAACAACCACTTCCGTGCTGTCTTGTTTGTTTTCCTGTAGGAATGAAAATATTTGGAGAGGAACTGATTCTGTTTGTCTGTTGCAAACCCTACCAATCATATCTGCAGCATCTTCCTCATCTCCAAAACAGTCATGCTGGAAGCAGAACACATCTTCATGCAGCACAGACTTGTCTCCACTGGCACTGGCCGAGTTGTGATCAGCCACCAGACTGTTGCTGCTCGTCAGGAAGCTGCCCTCAAAGAAGCTTTGTCTCCTCAGTGCATCTGCTTCTTCCTCTGAGGAAACACACACAGCTTCTGATGCCTCGTCTGCCTGAGTTTCGGAAACCCAGATTCATCCATTTCCTAGTTTTTTCAAATAATTTTTAAAAGATTGCAAGATATCCCATACCTCAGTTGGGATAAACAATAAACAATTCTGCTAGCTCAGTAAAAGCAGAGAATGTTTAGTTTGAGTCTCACTCTGATATCAGATTGTATTGCTTACATAAAATTTTAAGCACAAGATGGTATGACAGACCAATCAGAACAAGCATGGAACAAATGCATGATAAATCACAGCTTTTTAACATGTGGAAAGGGATCAGACTATACAAAATTTCTCATAAAACACAGTTTCCCTTATGGAATATTTCTAATTTCTCAACTTCTCTCACCAAAGTTTCTGACACAGAGAGATATGTTGCTTTCATAATCCTCTGTAAGTGTGATGTCTTCAGCTCTGCTCTGATTCAAGGTGAAATGTTCAGCAACATCAATGGCACTGATGAAAAAAACATTATAAAAATAGAGGGTGAATTGAAACCCATTGAGCATTCAGCTGGAATGTGAAAATTGCTTCTAAATAGCCTTCAATCCTGGAATTTTGTCGGAAACCCCCATATTTCTCCACTCTCTTTTGCCAGTAAACTTGGACTCATTTGATTTTGTTCCTGAAACATCTTTTAAACCAAATGACACAACTCTTTGGGCTGGCAGAAAAGGCACCTTTACAGAACACACTTACCACACCAAGGCCCTTGAATAAATGGTATTACATTGCAGCTGTACTTACAAAATAATAAACCCTTACTGATCCCATCAAACTGTATTTATGGGGAGGTACAGAAGAAGCCTCAGTGGAAATCTGTTATGCTGGACCTTCAGGGCATCAGAGCCATCAAAAACATAACTTGGCCTCCTGCTTTTTTTTTCAGTTTTCTACATTAATGCTGATTTGTGTCAGAAAAGCCAAAGAAATATGCTGGCTTTTTCTTGGGAGCCAGGCTGACTCCTGCTGATAAAACACCCCGGCCACGGAGAGCAGTGGAGCTGAAATGAAATGAAGTCACACAGTGGAACAGTACAACAGTGGGTTTACTGGCCAGAGCTTCCAGGGTTGATACTTTTATCTCTTCTCTTGAGATCAGAAAGCTGTTTGCATCCTTCACTCAGACAATTTAAAATCCTGAAGTCTAAGTTCAAGGCATTAATTCATTGTGAAGGTCTGTTGATTAAAGGACTGAGGAAAACTACCGAAGCACAAAGACTGTACCTGTAGCTTTGTAAAGCTCAGAATTTAGGAGAATTCAATTATCAAATCAAAACAACCCCATCTGAGTCTTGATCAGGTAAGCAAGGATAGATTTTACTTCTGAAAATACCAAAAGAATGAATAAAAACTAGGGAAGCATTTACTTTACATCTGGTAGTGGTGTTTCAAAATCATGAAATTCTTCAGGTAATGTAATGGACTGATAAGCAGCCTCAAAGTTCTCTTCTGGAAGGTCAAGAAGCCCTGAAAGAAACAGACAACATAACAAAATAAGTATCAATAAAATAAAAGTAGTGTTCTCCCAAGTAGGTATAATAAGCCTATAAACCTGTCAGGAGGGGCTGCTGCCATTCTAAATCACAGCATGGTAAAGCTTAGGCACTCCAAAGTGGAATTTTATTTTCCACATCTTTTAGAAGATCTGTTTTTTACAGGCAGATACAGAAGGGTCTGCTGCAACAGTTCCTGAAATATGTAAGTACTTGTGTTTCTGAACAGTTGCTTTAAGTTCCTGGAAGGTTCTCCCAGCTGACATTTAGCCCAGAGTCTTTTGTGGCACTGCAAATGAATCACTGTGGTTTCCTTTTCTCTCCTGTGTCTTCAGCATCAAATAATTATGTACTGAGACTGCAAGTACTTGGAAATCAAGAGAATCCTGGAACAATTTGGGTGAGAGGGGATTTCTGAAGGTCATCAAACCCAACCTTTTGCTCAGAACAGGGTTCATTTCACAGTCAGATCACTTTTGACTATTTCTGCTGATGGAGATCCCACAGGATCCCTGGACAGCCTCTTTCAGCATTTTACCACTTCCACTGAGATTTTCTCCCCCCTTCTATCTAGTTTTAGTCTCTGTTTCTGCTGTGACTCTTGTCTTGTTCTTAAGCTGCATGGTGCCCTCCAAGCTGCCATAGTATCTATCCAAAATAGCCTCAAGTTGTGCCAGGGGGGTTTCAGTTAGTTATTAAGGAAAGTTTCTTCACTGAATGGGTTGTAAAGCCCTGGCACAGATTTCCAAGGGCAGTGGTGGAGTCATCATCCTTGGAGGGATTTAAAACACATGCAGATGTGGCACTTGGGGACATGGTTTAGTGGTGGCCTTGGCAGTGCTGGGGGAAACAGTTGGACTAGATCCTTGGAGGGCTTTTCCAGCCTAAGCAGTTCTGTGAGTCTATGACTCTATAATCATATCTTTGAAAATAATGCAGAGTAATTTTTCTCTATTCTCTAAACAGACCAGGTCACAAAGCACATTAGAGCTGGCAATAGACATTGGTGTCCCCGTTCTCAGCCTTTTTTTAGACAACAGTGCCTCCCATTTGTTGCCTAAGTACAACAAACATAGAGCCTGTTGGATAAGGATCCAGTCATCTCGGCTCCCTTCTCCCTGGCCACATGGCCAGAGCTCAAAACATGCTGTCAAGTCTGGCACTGACACTGTTAGACATGCTGTCAGTGTCATCAGAAATTAAAATTAATTACCCAGCAATGGAGGCTGAATTCAAGCATCTCCTTGTAAGCCCACTTAAGATGCTGCTTCTGTTAAGGGAGTCAAAAACTTGAAATAGCATTAAATTAAGCCAGACTAAACACCAGCAGTAGGCACAAGTATGTTCAGTTGCCTTTGGGATCAATAACGTGTATTTAACAATATCCAAAAATTAACTTTTAAAATGAGAGCTGTAAAGGATCCAGCTGGGAAAGTGCTGAATTTTGAACGCACCTGGGCGAAAGGCTGACTTCATCTTGGTCAGAGCTTCACTGCAGTCTGCCAAGAGGTACTTGGCTTTCCTGTGGTAAATCCGCACCACTCCCAGGAGTAAGTGTCCAGAGGTTCGCAGAGCTATAGCAAACTTAAGGATTTAAAAAAAAAGTTATTGAGGAGTTAGGATTTTTTTTTACAGTTACAGTATTTACAGAGTTCCCTATGAGAGATGAACACCTCCACCCCAGGACTCTGCAGGAGATTGCTCCTCATGGCACAGCCTACCTTTGGGGAGATGATCTTTTGCACAGTGTCCTCTAAATTGCACTCAAAGATGTGTGCCTTGGTGAGCTTCTTCTCCCAGTGGGCAGCCAGCCAGATTTTGGCCAGCGGCCCCCGCTTGTTGATGAGCAAATGGACGTAGAACATGGTGCCTGGCCAAGGGTTGCAGGGCAGCCCTGCTGAAATTCCCCTTGGGAAATTCCCCCTTCCAAGGGGAAATGGGTCCTGGGGCACCAAGTGGGACTAGGGATTTAATGGGATCTGAGGGAATGGGGGACCCAGTTGGGTGCTATGGGGAGGGGAGGATTTAGTGGGATCTGACTGGATTGGGGACGGGGGGAACCCAGGCAGGTATTGAGGGAATGGGAGGATTTACTGGGATCTGAGGGGATGTGGTACCCAGGTGGGTATTGAGGGGATGGAGGAATTTAGTGGGATCACGAGGGGACGGGGAGATTTAGTAGAATCCTGAGGGGATGGGGACACCCAGCTGTGTGCCAAGGGGATGGGGGAACCCTGAGAGCACTGAGGGAATGAAAGGATTTAGCGGGACCCTGAGGGGACGGGGTGTGGGGGGGGAGGATTTAGTGGTGCCTGAGGGGACAGAGGGGAAGAATCCAACCAGGCTGTGAGGGGATGGGAGGATTTAGCAGGACCTGAGGGTATATGGAGTGACCCAGACGGGCGCTGAGGGGATGAGGAGATTTAGTGGGATCTGAGGGGACAGGGCGCCGCCGGGCTGCGGGGGGTGGTGGTGGTGTTGGATTTAGCGGGATCCTGAGGGATGGAGGGGCCCAGCCGAGCTCTGAAGGGGCCCAGCTCGGCGCTGCGGGGATCGGGCGGGATTAGCGGGGGCTGAGGGGGCGCGAGGGCTCGGCGGGGCGGGCGGACCCTCCTCAGGCCGCGGCTCAGCCAAGGGCGGGAAAGCGCCGCAGGGGGGTCCCGGTCCCGTCCTCGGAGCCGCCGGTTCGCGGCCCTGCAGGGCCCGTGTCCCCTCGCCGCGGCCCTGCACAGCTCCGGAGCCCCCGGCAGAGCCCTGCCGCTGGAAATTACTCCCCATTCCTTCCTGGGGCTCACCGGGAGCACACACACATCCCTGGGAGCGCCCACACATCCCCGGGAGCACGGTGCGGTGCCCCGCATTTCAGGTTCCTAAGAGAGGAGAGCAGTCTCACTCTCCTCCTTCTCCTTCCTCTCCTGCCCCCTTTCC